TTATTAGGTACACTTGTCCAACTGCTCTTTAATGCACATTTCTAATCAGCCAATCACATGGCAGCAACTCAATGCATTTAAGCATGTAGGCATGGTCAAGACGATCTGCTGCAGTTCAAACTAAGCATTGGAATGGGGAAGAAAGGTGATTTAGTGACTTTGAATGTGACATGGTTGTTGGGGCTAGCCGGGCTGCTCTGAGTATTTCAGAAACTGCTGATCTACTGGGATTTTCACAAACAACCATCTCCAGGGTTTACAGAGAATGTTCAGAAAAACACAGAGGCTACAATTCACACAGGCTCAACAAAATTGGACAACAGAAGATTGGAGAAACGATGCCTGCTCTGATGAGTCTCGATTTCTACTGCGTCATTCGGATGGTTGGGTCAGAATTTGGTGTCAGCATCATGAAAGCATGGATCCATCCTGCCTTGTATCAACGGTTCAGGCTGGTGGTGGTGTAATGGTGTGGTGCACACTGGGCCCATTAGTACCAATTGAGCATCGTGTCAACGCCACAGCCTACCTGAGTATTGTTGCTGACCATGTCCATCACTTAATGACCACAGTGTACTCATCCTCTCAAGGCTACTTCCAGCAGGATAACACACCATGTCATAGAGCGTGAATCATCTGATGCACAATGAGTTCACTGTACTCAAATGGCCTCCACAGTCATCAGACCTCAATCCAATAGAGCACCTTTGGGATATTCACATCATGGATGTGCAGCCGACAAATCTGCCGCAACTGTGTGATGCTATCATGTCAATATGGAGCAAAATCTCTAAAGAGTATTTCCAGTATCTTGTTGAATCTCTGCCAGGAAGGATTAAAGGCAGTTCTGAAGGCAAAAGGCGGTCCAACCAGGTACTAATAAGGTGTACCTAATAAAGTGGCCGGTGAGTGTAATACAAATTTAAAAAGAATAGAAATATTTATGTAAATATATTTCTTTGGTATATTTTTGTTTTTATAAACAGTATGTGTGTGTATTTTTACATATATTCATAAATATACACAGTACACAAGTATATATGCTATAAACACAAACTAATCTTGGATGAGATTAATCCTTTGACGGCACTATATATTAGAAAAGAATGACCCATAAAGCCGTCCAATCCATCAGAACCAAAATATGGGTAAAAA